CCCTGCAGCCTCACATCCTGGCTGACAAACTTTCAACTTGCTTCCATCTGAACGGCCAGCTTATCCTGTGGATATTGGACTTTCTGACCAACAGATCACAGAGCGTTCTGGTCGACAACACCTTCTCCAACCTCCAACACACCTCAACTGGCTCCCCTCAGGGCTGCGTGCTCTCACCTGTGCTCTTCATTCTCTACACCGAAGACTGCAGAACCACACAGCCAAACTGTCACCTGGTGACGATTACCACAAACTTCTTCAGAAAATTGCATTTAAAATTGGAAGTAAATGTGGAAGTGAATGGACTGTGCGGGAATGACACCACATTACCACTAACTCGGAATAGTGGACAAGAGCAAGCTAACACACGGCTAAGGAGCACAGAGACCTCTACAATGACAAAGGTGGGCTCTGTTTTGTCTAATAAGTCTACGAATGGTAGTCCTCCTTGGAACTGTCTTGGTGCTAAGCCAAATAAGAAATCATTTCTCTGGGAAATGGGAGGACGGATAACACGCAGAGCACAGCGAGCTGAGATATGTGATGAGACCGGCTGGCCTGCACTACCTCCCCTGCAAAGTGCCTCTTCAACCCCTGTATCAAGAGGGACACAGCCGTGGACAGCTGCGAAAGGGAAGGTTAGAAACAAACCTCCCCCACAAATGTGGAACTACAGAACAGATATTCCCCTCTGTTACAGAGCCCTGGATCTTCATCTGGTTCTCCATCCTCAGACACCAGGGTAAGGACTGAAAACATATCAAAAAGTAAAAGGCTACAGGGAAAGCTAAAGCCTGGGCTTGAAACTCTGATTGTGGGTGACTTTGCTGTTAAAGATGTACAAAGGATGTGCGGTAAAAACACAGAAGTACTGTGTTTTCCCAGAGATATGGTCTCTGATTTAGCAGAAAAGATCCTGCATATTGTGGCTGAACACCCGACTGTGAAGAATGTCATACTGCACATTGGGTCAAATGATGTCACAAAACAACAATCAGAAGATTTGAAACAGGACTTCACTGGTCTGCTGAGGATGGTCAGCCCCTTGGATGTGGATGTGTTTATCAGCGGCCCCATACCACCAATCAGAAGAGCAGAGGAGAGATTAAGCAGGTTGTTGGCACTGAATAACTGGCTTACAACTGCATGTAATGCCCATTCAGTGAATTTTATTAACAATTTTAACATTTTCTTTTTAAGGCAGAGTGAATTTGCCTGAACATGTCAGGGGTGAAACTGTTCACCTCTAACCTATTTTACTCCCTGCCTCAACCATCAGTTCTGTCTGCCAAGGACAAGAGACAAAAGAAAACAGCTTTCAAGAAAGACAAAACACAGCGTGATGGAAACCTTGGTCAAGAATCATGTCTGCCAGTATCTGAGGAGAGACCTAAAGAGGAGAGACATCGGAACCAAGAAGAGGGGTCTCCATCCCCTCGAACCCCGATCAGATCATCATCTTCCTCCCTAATCACCCTATCTCCCTCCTCCCCCCACCTGGAGTTCACTGACCAGATGAAGGAGCTGGTCAATGCTGGATTAAAAAGCACCCCCCGCCCTTCTCCCTTTTTCTCTTCTATAAACACCCGACGGCGCCCACCATCGCCCATTCCGAGACAGCTCTCAACACCCCCCCTGTCCCTCCGCGGGTGCGTCATGTTTTGTCTCCTCAGCTTGATAAGGATGAAATGTAGAACATTCAGAGGTCAAACTGATGTGTTTTGGGTCCAGGCTGCATGGATATCAGCAGTCATGACTCTCTCCAGGATAAGCCGGGGCCCTGCACGTCAGTAGGTTCCAAAATCTTTGTGATGATAGGTAATAGAAGAATAAAGGGGACTCTGCCAAGAAACAAAAGGCAGTTATGTGATTTTGCAAACTTGTCAAACTTAGCATCCATTCTATTTGAGCCACAACCAGTCCCAAAAACGTTAGCAGATGAAGCTTCCCTAAAGCTGGCTCTACTAAACATTAGATCACTGGCAGGGAAATCATTTTAATCAATAATTTTATTATTGAGCACAAGCTTGATTTTATGTTTTTAACTAAAACTTGGTTAGATCAAAATAACAGTGCAGCTGTTCTTATCGAGTCAACCCCTCCCAACTTCAGTTTTGTAAGCGAGGCTAGAGTGCATAAGAGAGGAGGAGGAGTTGCAGTTTTGTTTAATGAAACAATAATAATGCTCTTGCCCTGTTTGCTACTGTCGACAGGCTAACAAACCCTCTTGTGTCAACAGCATCTGAATTTCATTCTACCAGGGCCTGTAATACATTTTCCACCTTCTTTACTGAAAAAATCCAGAAAATTAGACAAACTGTCAGTAATTCATCATCAGGATCAGGATATGTGCTGTGTCCATTTAAAACCAACTTAAGCACCATGACACAATTTAATCAAATCAACCTTAAAAACCTGGAGGACATTATACAACAATTAAATTCCTCCTCCTGCTGTCTTGATATTCTGCAAACAGGTTTTTTCAAAAAAGTCTCCCAAGACATGGCTCCAGATCTGTTAAAAATTGTAAACATGTCTCTTCTTTTAGGCGTCTTCCCACAGGCCCTGAAAACAGCAGTCATCAAGCCATTATTAAAAAAGAACAATCTAGACAAGTCAATAATGAACAATTACAGGCCTATATCAAATCTTCCTTTTTAAAGTAAAATAATCAAAAAAGCTTTTTTTCAACAGTTAAAACACTTCTTGACATTGAGCAACTGTTTCGATGTCTTCCAGTCTGGTTTTAGACAAAATCACAGCACTGAGACAGCTCTTATCAAAGTGTTTAATGACATCCGTTTAAACACAGACAGTGGCAGAACCTCAGTCTTAGGTTTACTTGATCTCACTGGAAAACTTGGTGGGAGTTTCTGGCACTGTACTAAACTGGTTTGAATCCTACTTAAAGGACAAGGACTTCTTTGTGTCTATAGGTAACTTCAAATCTGAGCAAACAAAAATGACTTGTGGAGTTCCCCAAGGTTCCATCCTGGGGCCTCTTCTGTTTAACCTCTACATGCTCCCACTAGCTCAGATTATAAAAAACAATAAAATAAGTTATCATAACTACGCAGACGACACACAAATATATATTACAATGTCGCCAGGCAACCATAGTCCCATAAAAGCACTGGGTAAATGCATAGAGCAAATCAATGAGTGGATGTGCAAAAATGTTCTCCAGCTAAACAAAGACAAAACTGAGGTTGTTCTTTTTGGAGCAAAGGACAAATGTTTTTTTTCTGACATATCCGCCTAAGAGTCAGGAATCAGCTTCAGTCAGTAAGACTTCAAACCACAGACCAGGCAAGAAATCTGGGCGTAGTGATGGACTCAGACCTCAATTTTAAAAGCCACATTAAGACAATTACAAAGTCAACCTACTATCACCTGAAGAAACATATCAAGAATTAGAGGTTTTATGTCCCAGCAGGACCTGGAAAAACTTGTTGCTTTTATCTTCAGTCGTCTTGATTACTGCAACAGTGTCTTTACAGGTCTGCCTAAAAAATCAGTCAGACAACTGCAGCTGATCCAGAACGCTGCTGCTAGAGTCCTCACCAAAACCAAGAAAATGGATCACATCAGTCCAGTTCTGAGGTCCTTACACTGGCTCCCAGTCTGCCAGAGAATAGACTTTAAAATCCTGTTGCTGGTTTATAAAGCGCTTAAAGGTTTAGGGCCAAAATACATTAGTGACCTCCTGATTAATTACGAACCATCCAGACAGCTCAGGTCGTCTTGGACAGGTCTGCTCTCTGTCCCCAGAGTCAGAACTAAACACGGAGAAGCAGCGATCAGTTTCTATGCTCCTTATATCCGGATCAAACTCCCAGAAAACTGCAGGTCTGCTGAAACTCTCAGCTCTTTTAAATCGAGGTTGAAGACACACCTGTTTACAGCTGCCTTTCATTAAACAGCTTTAATAAGATTTAAAATTTTAACTCTGCACTGTAACTTTGAAGTCTTTTTATATTTTTACTTCATTTATTTCAATTAATTTCATTTGACTTATTTTTATTTGAACACATGTTCAGATTTAATAAAACAATTTTAATGTTCTATTTTAATGTTTCTATTCTTTCCTCTGTCATGATGCTTTTGATGTCTTGTGTGAAGCACTTTGCCTTGCCTTGTTGTTGAAATGTGCTATATAAATAAACTTGCCTTGCCTTGTTCCCAGGGCTGTCCAGCTCCTCAACTCCTAACTCCTAATATTGTATATATTAGTTCTGTTCCATTTTTCACCATGCACCTTAGAACTTATCATTTAGTTTTGCCTATTTGCTCTGTATATGCATATTTATTTCTCGTTTACTGCATATAATTCTGTTAACATCTGGTCACTACTGCACATAGTTCTGTATACATCTGTTTACATCAGTCAGTCCGATCACTGTCCACTTATATCTACTCTTTTTATATTTTGTATTTTAAGTTAAGTTTAAGCTTTCAGATGTATTTAAATTGACAATTTATATTTAGGTTGTATTTCGTCTACCTACACTGTTGTTATTTTACTGCTATGTGTGCTTTTGAATTGCCCCCCGGGGACAAATAGTTTTTTGAATTGAATTGAATTCCTTACATGATCTGTGTCACTTTACGGTCATCGTTTATGTTCGTGAACGGTTGGATGCGCGACTCACTTTAAATGATGCGGCCGCAAGGAATTGTGGGGCGGCATATCTCGTCTCCTATGGTAAAGGATGGTCCAGTGCTATCCTAAGCTAAAGGAGGTTATAAAGGAAGCATTGACCCACCTTTCCTTAGTTTTTAGAGAATTCGAACGGCTCTTATCATGGCCGCCACTTAAATGCTTCTGGGTCATTTCACTCAGTTAGGAACCTTCCTAAGCAAAAATGACAATTCGAATGCACCCTCTATCTTCTCACTGAGGTTGGTGAAGGAATCAGCTCAGTGCAGAGTCAGGTGTGTTTGTGGCTGATTGGCCGTGATTAAAACCAGGTGTGGAGAGCGTATATATACTCTTGGACTTCAGTTCTCTGTGCTGACTCATTATCTCACTTTTAGAGGTAGTGAGAAGTTCTTCCTGTGGTTTCTCTCGTTGTCTGTGTGTGAATAAACACAAACGAATACCGTTCTGTGTGTGTGTGTGTCCATTGCTTGTCTCTCAGTGAATAACTTGGGGAGGCTTTTGTGTTGGCTGGTAAGGCCTCCCTGGATAACTTTCAGACACCCCTTTGTCCTACTTCCCCCTTTCCTGACACAATGGAAGAGGAGAAATTCAGAATGTTACCCAACCCAGGTTGACGACTTTTTCAATTGATCGTCCCGTTCAATTTCATTAGTCAAGTCTCAGCGTTTGATCTCTTATCCTGCCCTGTATAATCTCAGAGGAAAATCCATTTCTTCCTCATTTAACTTGGCTGTAGAACCTTTTTTTGTCGTATTTGATGGACACTGTTACATAACCAGAGCAAAACTCCTCACAGAAGATTTAGGAAGAACAAAACTAAGAATACTGTTATTAAGCACATTTACCATCAGGAACATTACATCTCAATCAATATCAGGTCTGTTTGAGGTTATAAGACTCCAAGGACTTAGCCTTGTACAAATAACTTTATGTGAAATTAAAGTCTATGTCAGATATTTCTAATTCAAACTAGACACACAGAACCACGTGTTCTGCTGACTTTGCTTTTTGTCTTCACTTCTTATTGCATCTCTGGGAAAGTGAATGAAAAACACCTGACTTTGATACAAGTCTAAATATTAATTAACACAATATTGAACATGTTGCCTGAAACCCTGTGTGACAGAAATAACCTAAGCTATCTTAGAAATGCCTTGTGTTACACCTTTGACCCCATGTTTCACTGAGGTGAAATTGTCGCTGCTATGTGTCATTTCTGTCACCGCTGTGAGTGAAAATTGATGTGAGTGAAAAAGATAATTACAGACACAACACTTCTGTATGAATCAAACATTTGAAGCTATGCGTTTTCAAACTAGGAAAGCTATGGCTTTAGACCACTGAAAGTTAAATGCTCTTGAAAAAATGGAAACGAAAACTATTCAAAGAATGTCCTTTCTATGATAGACCATGAAATGTGGAATCACAAGTTCTACCTGAAAAAGGTGGGTGAACCCCTGCACACCCCTCACCACACCCGTGCTGATGGAGAGATTGCATAGAGGAGTAGGGGGGAAAACCTGCTGGCCGCATTCTTTTCTTTCAACTGCTCCTCCTGGCCCATCCCACTCTGCTGTGCATGGTGACTATATAACCACGGAGGCCAAAGTGACAACTCCAACTGCAGATCAACTCCAGGTCAACCTCCAAACCTCCAGCATGTCTTTCAGCACCAGATCCTACGGTCAGAAGACCATGAGTGTCTATGGTGGAGCAGGCGGCCATGGCACCCGCATCTCCTCCTCCCAGATGAACTTTGCACCATCCGCAAGAAGCTTCAACCTGTCTGATGGCGTGGACCTCCACGTTGGGGCCAACGAGAAGGCCACCATGCAGAACCTGAACGACCGTCTTGGTTCCTACCTGGAGAAGGTGCGCACCCTGGAGAAGGAGAACGACCGCCTGGACAAGCAGATCAGAGACTGGTACCAGTCCAGAACTGTCATCTGCCATGACTACAGCTGCTACTTTGTCATCATCGAAGACCTGAAGGACAAGGTAAGAGAAAACAGACACACATGGTTGAGTTTCTGAGTTAAACCTTCACTTTGAGGTTGTATAGTTCTAAGCTAGTTTGTAGTGCATTAGGAGCTTTGACAGTTAAAATATTAGCTTAAGAATCAGGAAACCCATCAGTGACATGTGACAAGAAGCCCCCCTTATCAGGAAGCAAATAACACAAACACAGAGCATAACATGCTTATTGTCAAAGCTGTCATACCACATCCATTCCTGTGCATCACAACCTGCTGTCAGTGTTCAGAGATGTAGAAATAATTAAACAAGCAAACAACTGATGACAAATGAAGTAAAACATTTTCACAGTTGAACATCTTGTCCACTAAAAAGGTTTGTTGGATGACTTTTGTGAAACAAATACAACCATGTTATTTTGAGAGAATTAATTTGTAATTAGACACATTTAAATGACTTACATTACCATTTTTTTGAGTGGTGTATTTATGTTTTTTTAGTCATGTTTTTTTGTGAATTTAGGAACGTAATTATCCACCTGAGAAACATTCCTCCTGAGTATATTTTTGAACAACTAATTAAGAAACTAAACTCCAAGAAAATATTTCACTTTTATTAAATGTCCACCGCTGTGGAAGTCAGCATATGACATATTTCATAAATCCCAAGTCTAAATCCCTGTCAGTCTTTAAAAATGTGTCATATCTGAGAGGTTGCTTTGGGCAGTAAACTGTTTACAAACAGGCAGAACTTTTTTTCTAACTTGTATCTCTGTGTCTGTGTTTTTGTCCTCATCAGATCCGTATTGCCTCCAGGCTCAACGCCAAGACAGTCCTGGACATCGACAACGCAAAACTTGCTGCTGATGACTTCAAAATGAAGTATGTGTATTATCTGTATCCTCTTGCTTCTGCACCTATTTGCTCGACCACTTTGACAGGACTTTACATGAAGCATGATCTCATGTCTCTCTGACCACTTTTAATCCTACCCACACTAATGAAAAACACTCTGACCTGTCCACCCTGTCCTCAGGTATGAGAACGAGCTGGCCATGAGGATGGCTGTGGAGGCAGACATTGCTGGACTGAAGAGGGTGCTGGATGAGCTGAACATGGCCAGGATGGATCTGGAGAGTCAGTATGAGGCCCTGAAGGAAGAGCTCATCATGCTGAAGAGGAACCACGAAGAGGTGAGGAGTGTAGTAAACAGGCAGGAGTGCTGCACCCATTTAACTAACGCAAGGTTTGTTGATGGCAGTTTGAATGGAGCTAAACCTACGACTTATCATCTATCAACACCCCTCAAACAGATCCTACACTCAGGCCCACACCCACTTTGTGTATATACCTAACCTGAAAGTATGGTACTACGCCAGTGATTAATCGAACTCATCATCATTCATCTATTCAGCAGCAGAGACCTAAACAGAGCAGCTGTTATCACCGTCCATTACAGCCATCTATTGTGGCCTAACCTGGTCATTATTAGCACACTAAAATGCCCTCCGCCTTACCTCTGATAACGCAGAGGAAAGTCAATGTTAGGTTGATGTTTTGATAAACAGGGCTGCTGCCTTTTCCCGTTCCCAGAACTGGCCCTCTCCACTCTGCACACTTCCTTCATTCTTCCTCCATTAGATCATTGCTTCTGTTTGTCTGACACGAGCTCACTTACACTGACACACACACACACACACACACACACACACACACACACACACACACACACACACACACACACACACAAACACACAAAAGAGCGGTTACAGAACCCAAAACTGTGAGTGCAACACACTTAAAAGAGAAGCCATCAAGAAGTAATAAATCATTAATTGATCATTTCAGGTTGATGCACTTGTTGACTGACTGGATTGTTGTTGTTTGATGCCTGCAGGAGATGGTTCTGCTGAGGAGCCAGATGGGCGGACAGGTCAATGTGTCCGTGGATGCTTCTCCCTCTGTAGACCTGAACAAGGTGATGTCGGATATCAGGGATCACTATGAGTCTGTCATCGGCAAGAACCGCAAGGAACTCGAGTCATGGTACCAGTCCAAGGTGAGATTATATGACTACGTAGAATAGTGCTTACTTTTAAAGATTAAAACATCTATTTTATTTATGCTGATATGTCTGTGCCTGTAACTGTTGGGTAACCCAAGACATGCTGTTTCTCTGCTCTGCCCAGATTGCTGGTATTGAACAGGAAGTGAGGGTACAGACAGAGACCCTGACATCATCCCGCACTGAGATTAAGGACCTGAAGAGTACCCTCCAGAGGCTTCAGATTGAACTGCAATCCCATCTGAGCATGGTATGTCAACATAAAAATGTATAACAATAAACATTTAGTATTTTTTTTTATTAAAATATAGACTGTCCAAAACATGGACATAGTCTCAGTGACATCACCCTTAGTCTCCAACTAACTTTCTGCTAGTCTAGAAAGATAGGTGGAGCTGAATGAACCTTGGTTGATAGCTACACACTGTCAGTCAGATCAACCACGCCCCTAATTAAGCCTAAATATGCATTACTCCGAGCCTTATTATAATTAGAACAGATTATAGAACAGAACCATGCTGTAAAATTATTTATCTCTGCTATAAAAAATGGGCATTTTAATAAAGGGCCTAATGAGGATTCCTTGGTTTTTGGGCATAGGCTGTAAAAAAACATAGACGTACTCTCAGTGGCGTCACCAATTGGTTTCTAAAGCCAAGTAATAGCAGTCACCATATTGGAAAAGCTGTCTCAAAGTAGATTTCAGTCAGCCTAGCACCAGGAAAAGAGCTGAGGTAAGCCTCCTAGCAAACAGCTACAATGCACCCACTCGTCACTCAGATAAGCAAGACCAGACAGATGAATTGCATACCCGATATATTACTTCACATCTTTATATTAGATATGAATTAACACATAGCAAGCAGGTTTTAGCATATCTTAGCAGTTAGCATAAAGACTTAAATGCATGCTCCAAGACGGCAAGAGTCTAAAAGTAGCGCAGAGAATGCAGAACACAGCACCACATGTTAGTTTCATGCTAACATCCACGTGCCTTGCAGCAGAGTTTACTAGGAACAGCCGATTACAAGCGTCAAGTAGAATCTTTTGAGTTCTATTCAACCCAACAATCTCATCCTCCTACCACAACAGAAAGCGTCGCTGGAGGGTACCCTTGCAGAGACTCAGGCCCGCTACGCTGCACAGCTAGGAAGTCTCCAGAACATGGTCACAAGCCTGGAGACTCAGCTATCCCAGCTTCACTCCAACATCGCCAGCAACAAGCAGGAGTACGACATGCTGCTGGACCTCAAGACCCGACTGGAGATGGAGATCGCAGAGTATAGGAGGTTGCTGGATGGGGAGGATGAGAGGTGAGACTTGACGGCGTCGCACTGAAGACATTGAATGAAACACGTAAAAATGCCTGAGACTAATGTGTTCTCTTTTCTTTCTTTTTTTTCGCTTATATCAGCACAAAGCAAGGTAAGACAATTCTCTCACACCTGGTTTGATCATTAAATGGCTATTTAAGTTTTGGATTGCTTTTAAAGAAAGGTATGAGATTTGCTCACGATTGTTGTTTATTTTATTCTTCAGTGGTCACAAAGGTCATCACAGTGGTGCAGACAGTTGTGGATGGAAAGGTGGTCACCAGCAGCAAGACCGTTGATGTGGACGTTGATGAGATTGAGGGATAAACTTCAAGTAACAGCAAAAATCAATAAAGATCATGCAGTTGAAAAAAACTTTCCTGACTCATACTTTTCCATTTGTGTGTTTTTTAATCAACATGACTTGAGTTTTAACAGATTTAAGATACCGTGAGACAATTATCAGACAATTCTACACTTAAAGGGCTCGATATATTTATCCCTTTAGCTGCTAGTTGTTGCATAATGGCAGATTTACTTTGTGGTTCTGTCTAACTACTTGTACAAAACAAGCCCTTGGCTGTTAAAGAACATTTTCTAAAGACCCATTTATTGAAGCACTCATATTAATGTGGATATGGCTGAAATAGGATTACATTGTTGCTCTGTATCTGCTAGATGCAAAAGTGTTGGGTGACATTTCTGCAAAAACAGCCACTGTACAATCTGTCAACTAATTGTAGAGTTCCTCTGCCCCAGGGGAAAACAGCACTAACAGACAGTCAAGAGGCTCCATGCCAGTTTTTCTGTCTGGCAAGCTCTCAACTTCTAAATATTGTTTCTGGAGCACACAGGAAAGGAATTCAGGTATGTCTTACACACATCTTCTGCCCTCTAGTGGCCAAACTGGGTTTGATCCAATTTTATGAGACCTGTTCCAGCATGTACTCAGTAGAAGTGAACTACTTGAAGTAAGCTTGACTTGTTGCCAGTCCAGGGAAACACCCAGAGAGTCAAATCCATGCTCACATTGAAAATGCTATTGGTACATTGTTAGAATATTTGTAGTACTCCATAGGTTTCTTTCTGAATGGTACACTCACTCTATTTGTTGGGGATGAATTCTGCAAAGTAAACATGCTGTTGTTTAAAGCTTTGTTGTAAAATCAGAACAATATCTGAAGCTCACTGGAGTCTCAGAGGAAACTGTTGATGAGAGGAGAGTGTGTTTTTAAACCTGGATTTGCCCCACTTGTATATAAAATATTTGGGAAATTTAATATAAACACTCTTGTCAGTCACATAAATCCTTTTTAATACCTGCCAGATACCTAGGGTAACTTTTATGACATGATAATAAAATATGACCTTTTATGAATGAACAGAACAACACAAATTAGAAGGGAGCAAACATGCAGCTTTTATTGCATTCACATGAGTACGTGAAGGACATTTTGGTTCAGTTGTGCTTGTGCTTGTGCTCAGTTGGTGCTCCTTGAACCACTGCTACTGGTCATACTGCAGAGGGGGAGAATTACAGGGTTTGCATTAAAAATCAGTATACTGCTTCAGTTAAAAGAGCTAGTTATAGGTTAATGATGAAAGAGTTGACAGTTGTTCTTTGAAAGCAAAATTACCTGCCCTCTCCGTCCAAAAGCCTCCTGTACTCTGCAATTTCCATCTCCAACCGAGTCTTGATGTCGAGCAGCATGTTGTATTCTTGGCTCTGGTTTTCAATATCACAACGAAGCTGTTCCAGCTGGCATTCCAGGCTGCACACCTGACTCTGGAGGCCTTTGAGCTGCATGGAGTATCGTGCCTCTGTGTCACACAGTGTGCCTTCCAGAGACGCTTTCTGGAATGAGCAGGGCAAAAAGTAGAGCGGAGGAGAGAAGAAAGAGATAGAATCAACTTAAAAACTGGGTACCCTAACCCTAACCCTAACACTTTACTGAGGATGTAACGGGTTGTGCATGAAAGGGTAAAGAAGTATTCAGTTACCATGCTTAGTTGTGATTGTAGCTCGATCTCCAGGCCCTGCAGCGTTCGGCGGATCTCAGTGATTTCTGACTTGGACGTTTGGAGAGTTTCTGTGCTGCTTGCCACCTCCTTGTTCAGTTCCTCTGACTGCAGGGGACAAAAGATATAACCAGTGTCAAATGAAACTACTTAATTTTTCAGAGACAGCCGTAGCAGGTTACTGTTACCAGTGTGTTGGTGTTCTCTCACCTTTGTTTGGAACCAGTTTTGAAGTTCTTTCTGATTTTTGAGAGCTGCAGTCTCGTACTGCTCACGGATCTCAGCCATAATGGCGGACAGGTCTGGCTGTGGTGTTGCATCCACCTCCACGTTAATCTGTCCACTCATCTGGTTCCTCATGGCTGCCAATTCCTGTGGAATAAAAGCAGTTTATTGAGGGATGGATGTTTGTTGATTTGTTAATTGCAGATCCAGTCACATCACTGTTTGCTACCTACCTCCTCGTGGTTCTTTCTGAGGAAGATCAGCTCCTCCTTCAGGCCCTCTATCTGCATCTCAAGGTCTGATCTGTTCAGTGTCAGCTCATCCAACAGTCTCTTGAGACCGGCGATGTCTGCTTCCACTGATTGACGCATGGCAAGCTCATTCTCATACCTTTGTGGAAGAAGGGAGCAGATATTGTCATTTTAACATTCCTTTACTGCCACAGTTTACATTCTTCTTTGTTTCAGACTTTACTGTCTCATCCTGACACTCACTTGGTTCGGAAGTCGTCTGCTGCCAGTTTTGCGTTGTCAATAGACAGATAGATGCCTGCATTGACACTGGTAGCATCCTGGATCTGTGTGATGAAACAACAAATAAGAAGGGTTGCATGTAGAACAATGAAAAGAGTGATTACAGTTTCAATGTATCATTTTGGAAATACCTCTCTGATAGTTGCATTTCTCATTCAAGGTCATGTTACATACCTTTCTCTGCAGGTCTGCGATGGTGGCCTCAAAAGCTGAGTAGTCACGGGAAACGGGGGAGGTCTTGCTCTCCAAGAACTGGCGGATCTTCAGCTCCAGCTCTGCATTGGCCTTCTCAAGGCTGCGCACCTTATCCAGGTAAGAGGCCAGGCGATCGTTCAGGTTCTGCATGGTGGCCTTCTCATTGGTCCCGATATCCATGCCCTCACCTGCACCAAAGCCTCCGCCACCAACAGAGTAACTGTAACTGCTGATGCTGCCACCTCCACCTCCACCTCCACCTCCACCTCCACCTCCACCTCCATACCTGCCAAAACCCAAGGAGGAACCAGAGATTTTTGTTCCACCGCCACCTGCACCACCATACACACTTGTGGCATATGACTTCTGCATCATGCCTCCACCTAGACCTAGACCTAGACCTAGACCTAGACCTCCACCTCCACCTCCACCCATGCTTCCAGCATTTCCATATCCAGAACTGCGTATGGAATAAGATTTCATTGAGTTCATTGTGAAGGTTTCTCAGGAGGTTTGCCTGCCTTGGAGAAAATGAGATGGACTGAGATGCAGCACTCTACCTCTTCCCCCTTTTTATGCTGCTCAAGGCTGCGGCTGCTGGCTCTGCTGTGGGAGGGGGCGTGTAGGACTGGAGGGAGGAGCATTACCTAAAATGGTTGATCTACCCCACCCATCGCACACACACACACACACACACACACACACACACACACACACACACACACACACACACACACACACACAAGGTACATTTTATGCAACAATAAGAGGAATTAACGGGGCTAAACTCAAAACTATTCTCTAAAGCAATTTCAGTAATTCATTCCAACCTCACAGCTACCTGAGGACCTTATAGAAAACATCATTATTCTGTTTGTCCTCCTTATTCTCTGGCTCCACAATAATATCCCTGACGACAGGGCATACACTTGAGCCTTTACCTTTTATTTCTGTAAAGTATACTGGAAAATGCAAAAGAGCCGCACCCATTACTATAAGCCTTAGGTTAGTCATTCAGTCAAATCCGGTAGGTTCTCAACTCTGTCAGTGTTCTGACATGTGATGCGTTTTCACTGAAATCGTGCCATAAATCTTGTGCAATACTGCCACGCTGTGCTGGCCAAACCTGTTACATCCCCATGGCAACAAGCATTGTAAACACTGTAAATCCCCTATTTTCACTTGAGTCAACAGCCAGCACACCTCTTATCACAGACCTCTTTGTCTTTTCTCTTCTGTTGTCTTGCATGAACAAAACATATATTTTAAGGAGCTGGACCTTTTGATATTCATTGCTGCATTTATTTTTCACATCTTAACTCAACATTTGATTCATTCTCTTCTGTTTTGCTCCTCAAAGCCCTGCTGGTTTACCAGTAAGAAGCAATTTGAATGGACTTTTGTGGAGTCAGTAGATACTTGGCCTTGTTCAAGAGTGGACACAGCTCTGCTGGTATGCTCACCTCAGATGTAGCTGCACGCTCTCTATTTTTTTGGGCAGTGTGATTTGGCATGTGCATCATTACCAAACAAGAACAAGCTCCTGCTTGTTTGTTTTGTTACAATTTACCACAAAATTTGATTAAACTCTTTATGATGTCACTTGGGATTTTTTTATTCAAATGTCTATGAAGCATGAACAATGTTTTATTAAATTAAAACAAAATAAAAGGCATTTATACTTTTCCTCACAGATTTGGTTTTATGTGCAGAGACTGGTAGTTATAAGAATATTGAAAGTATTATTCTTGATATTTTGTGTCTGTGATTAAGCCAAACAAAGAAATACTTTACCGTTACAATCAAAAGTATAGTACAGAAACGTGCAGGCTGAAGTAAAACAAACCAGATGCTTTTTTTAACTGCTGTTTTCATTTTGAGGTTGCGCACTCATCTCATGCATGTGCTAAACGGCTATAAATTATTGTTAAGTTGATGATTAGTTTGAAACTGAAGTAGGCCATATATATTGGTGAAGGTATTTTGTCACACTGGAGAAAGCATTTTAGCACCAACACATCAACTTCTTGTATGTCACAGTTATGTACAGCTGTGTATGGTTTAGGTTTTACTTAAAAACAAGTTTTAACGCTCCGTACCAAATGCTGGTGCTTGTCGCAAGTTTGTCTGGAAGCATTTTTCTGCTCCACAAAGTTGCAAAATATGAAACACATCAACCAAATCATTTTTCCAGCTATGTAATATCTGTAGAAAAACAAAGGCGTGAGACACTTTGTCTTTGCACTACCAGCAGAAACAAGTGATGCTATAAATGTAAGCTTAAATACAGTGAAACAAAAAAGAGAATTTGCACTTTGTGTAAGGGTGTGGCCCTTGTGGAGACTTTCAACAGATCACAATATTAAAAACATTGGTGG